ACTGACCGAACTAAATTCGGACGTCTGCTGACCTTATGCTGCTGTTTACGTCTTTAACTTTACGAAATCTTTAACGCTAAATTGATATCGGCCTACTTTTAAACTGTACTCACGTTTCTCTGCTTATCTTTCCTGAATTAAGAGTGTATGTTCAAATAAAGTCTGTGTCCGTAGTCCCATTTCATTCGTAGTCTCCACTGGCGAATTTCTCGTTTTAAGTTTGATCTTGTTTTTTTACGACACGGTAGGTAAGTTTCAAAGAACATATTGTTTCTTTTCAAGCTTTAATCATGTAGCCCAAACGTTTATGAATCAAAGACTTTTTTTTTCTACCCGCATTTCCATCCTGCTTGTTTAATTTTTTTTAAATTTTACACACGTGACTCTCTCGCTCAGTTGAGCGTTTGTCTCGAGAAGCGCACCATGTATTTTTTGAACATTTAAATTATGTTCTACTTTTTTAGTGCGTCAAAACTTGGCTTGATAGAGAATATATATACATTTTAGTTCTGATCACTCCACTCATCACATCACTCTAGTCATCAAATAAATCCAATCATCAAATGACGACAATCGCTCAAAGGCCGCCCTTTGATGATCCCCATGCCAGGAAAGATGTTCGACATGCGTTATTTCCGTTTCATCTTTCTCTAACCAATCTTCTATAAATTGTCGTGTATAGATATTTAGACTTCTTGCAATTTTTCACCAATTTAAAAAAAAAAATCGTTTTCGCGGGGCCCTAAAATAGCATAAGGCTATGGGCGCCCGCAGGAGGGGGGCCACTTTGCCCCCCCCCCCCTGGATTGATTGGATAAAAAAAATTTAGACAAAAATAGACAAAAAATGTATTAAAGTAAAGAGAAAATAAAGAGAAAGTAACTAAGCTGATGTTCTGTCCGTTCGTTCACCATACAATTACGCAACAGTAAATTAAAACTACATTAAAACATTACTAAACATTTTTTGCCCCCCCCCCCTAGAAAGTTAATTGATTTTTTTGCCCCCCCCCCTGAAAATTTTCTGCGGGTGCCCATGCATAAGGCCCAAAAAAGTGGGGGGCCTATAAATCGCATAAGGCCCAAAAAAGGTGCGGGGCCCAAAAATAACATAAGGCCCAAAAAAGTGCGGGGCCTTAATATATCATAAGGAACATAAAAGCGCGGACCAAAAGAGTGCGGGCCCCTAGAAACGAGCCTTATTTGCCATTAGGTTAATCTGGTAGTGTCGAATAGGGGTAACGTAGACACCCTGATAAGGAACATGCTCCACATTCTCCATTCTATACATTGTCTCAGAAACAACAACGGGCTATTGATGCAATAATGTTTTTAAATCATGTTAGTGCGTTACCTCGAGGGTATCATTTCCTTTCAAATTATTATTTTATTTATTTTTTTTTTAATCCCCAAAATTTGGTTCTAAAATTACAACGACTCCAGTTGAAAATCTTCATGACATCCGTCGATTCACCTGCCAGAAGTAGTGGTCAAAAAGACCAAGCTCTTAATTTGAGATGTAGTTCCTGGAAACATTACAATCTCATCATTTCCTAGAAGCCCGTCTATGTGTCGTGGGGGATCCGTATTACCCCAGTTTAAGAATCCCCCTGGTTCCCTCCCCCCCCCTCCCCCAAACGCCGTAGTGTCGTAAATTAGTTTTGGTCTAAGCAGAAGCACAGTCACCTGTTTGTCCCGCCTAGACCGATGCTAACAATTTCGGGTGCTTCACCATTTTGTTTCATAACCATTGTTGGATTGCATGTGTGTTACAACACCAGAGTGTTACCATAGTGCCATTGTCGGTTTGCATGTGTGTTACAACACCAGAGTGTTACAATAGCGGAGCCAGGATGCGTAAGTTGAATAGTTGACTTCATTGATCACGATAATCAATAATATGTTAACATAGCTGTAGATTTTATTCGCCCCCCCCCCCCCCCCCCCCCAGGTTTCTACCTCTACTTTTACGAATAAGCTCTCAACTCGACCAATCTTTAGGAAACACACGTTTCGTGAAAACCCTTTATATTAGCTTCGGTTTTGTTGACGTTTTTTTCTCCTTTCCGACTGGGCGTGTGGCAAAATCTTCGGACGGCTAACTGGCCCACTCCCCGTCAACCTATCGAGCTGAAACTCGGCCCACGGACTCGTTGCCGGTGAAAGCATATTCCTTTTCAAAACTTCAGCCCAACCCACCCACCTGTTCTAGGCTAAGTATGTCAAATACTTCTAAAATCAGTGCGCCCCATTGCTTCTAGCCTCAAGTATAATAATTAAAGGACTGCATTCAAGCTATTTCAATCATCTTCTAGCCTCAGTCGCCGGAAATAGCTCACATCGTATAATACAGTGCATCACAGCAATATCTAAATCTTTTTTATTTATAAAGTCGAAAGTTAGTAAGGGCTGTGACATGGACTCTATGGGACTCTGTCCTCATTCACTTTGTCCTCGGATACTTAATCTCATGTTTGAAAAAAAATGAGATAAAAACCACTTAACGTTATCTCAATTAAAATAACACAAGAGTGGCGCGAAATAATGCTGAATGTGTCACGCAAAATGCCCGCTAAAGGAGTCAAGGCACAGGGTATCTGTATAGGACGTAAGGGCAGGAGATATATGTTTAGGACGTAAATTTGATGAACTGTATTGATCCTAAAGGGGTAAGGGCAGGAGATATATGTTTATATGTTTTCTAATAGTCAAAAACTACATTTCTCGGGCTAATTTCTAATAGTCACAAACTACATTTCTCAGGCTAATTTCTAATAGTGACAAACTACATTTCTCGGGCTAATTTCTAATAGTCACAAACTACATTTCTCGGGCTAATTTCTAATAGTCACAAACTACATTTCTCAGGCTAATTTCTAATAGTCAAAAACTACATTTCTCGGGCTAATTTCTAATAGTCACAAACTACATTTCTCGGGCTAATTTCTAATAGTCACAAACTACATTTCTCAGCCTAATTTCTAATAGTCACAAACTACATTTCTCGGACTAATTTCTAATAGTCACAAACTACATTTCTCAGCCTAATTTCTAATAGTCACAAACTACATTTCTCGGACTAATTTCTAATAGTCACAAACTACATTTCTCAGCCTAATTTCTAATAGTCACAAACTACATTTCTCGGGCTAATTTCTAATAGTCACAAACTACATTTCTCGGGCTAATTTCTAATAGTCACAAACTACATTTCTCGGACTAATTTCTAATAGTCACAAACTACATTTCTCAGGCTAATTTCTAATAGTCAAAAACTACATTTCTCGAGCTAATTTCTAATAGTCACAAACTACATTTCTCAGCCTAATTTCTAATAGTCACAAACTACATTTCTCGGACTAATTTCTATTAGTCACAAACTACATTTCTCGGGCTAATTTCTAATAGTGACAAACTACATTTCTCGGGCTAATTTCTAATAGTCACAAACTAAATTTCTTGGACTCATTTCTAATAGTCAAAAATACATTTTTGGGACTAATTTCTAATAGTCACAAACTACATTTCTCGGGCTATTTTTTAATAGTCACTAACTACATTTCTCGGGCTAATTTCTAATAGTCACAAACTACATTTTCGGGCTAATTTCTAATAGTCACTAACTACATTTCTCGGGCTAATTTCTAATAGTCACAAACCAAATTTCACGGGCTAATTTCTAATAGTTAGTAGCTACTTTTCTCGGAACAATTTCTTAGTCACTAATTACATAGCTGGGGATAGTTTATTTTTATTATTAACTAGTGTTTTATAGTCACTAACTGAACTTCAGATACCTTCAAGATTTATTCGGTTTAACTAGGCAGATTATTTAATTCGAGCATTTTTACAATTACCACTTATTAATATGTGTATAAATTTATAAAAATTAATATATACATATATCCTATCACTCTCCTCTCTCTCTTTCTCTCTCTCTCTCTTTCTCTCTCTCTCTCTCTCTCTCTCTATATATATATATATATATATATATATACTCTATATATATATATATATATATATATATATATATATATATATATATATATATATTATATAAATATATATACAGTGGCGTAGCTAGGGATTTTGGGGCCCAGGGAGTTTGGTCTCTTTAAGGGCACCTGCATTTTGACATGCGACGTTATTTAATGTAAAAAAAAAAAAATTCCGGACACGCCAGTGTGAGATGTTAGGGCTAACATACAGGTCGAGAATTTCTGTTGTACTGCCGTCCCTGTATGGGGCCCATTAAATTCGGCATTATGTGTGATTTTTTAAGTTTGATATTGAATGGATTTTAAAAAAAAGGGAAACGGGTTAGGGTGGAATAACTTACCGATTAAATGCACTGTTCTTAACAAATTTGAAATTTTCTCATTTCATCTTTGCTACCAAAGAAATGTACAACTTTAAAAAAGAAACAAAAAAAAACTAAATCTTTAAAAAAAATAATTATTGGCCTTTCTTTTTAACTCTTGAATAATGCCATGCACTAAACAAAAATTGACCTCACGCAGTACTAATTTAAAAAAATAAATAAATATCTCAGGTCCTGCTACACGGAACCTGCCAAAAGCATTTGGTTTGTTGGTTGTCATCTGTGTCGGTCTGGTTGTCGTAGAACGGTTGGAATTCGCTGCACCGTTCACTTTCGTCGGAAAGACTTTCTTCAACAACACAAACTTCAGGCTAGGGGAATGGGTTTTCCCGTATTTTCAAAATGAGGAAAATTACACGGAAGTCGGCGTTACCCAGGACGCACTCGCTTGTGTGTTTCCGGACATCAATCCATTTAGACCGGAAATCATGAAATTGTCCGGATTAGACAGACAACCGGTTAAATGCGTGGGGTACATGCCCGATCTGACATACGTGAAAGGAAATAAGTTGGAGGTCAATAAAACAAGGGCGGAGGCCATCGCCGATTTTGAGTCCTGTAAATATCAGGAGATCTCAAACAGCCCGTCGGGGGATAAAACTATGACCACGGGCCCGTGGAGCGATAACTTCACCTCTTCAATAAGTCTAGGCGATAGAACTGAATTTATCGTGGCCGTCTGCGAGAATAACGCATCGCAGACCATATCTAAAACGTACCATGCTCTCATTCCCAAACGCCAAGAGTTGGCAGAGGAGCTGTCCTTCAAGCTCAAGAAACGTAACGCCGTATACAATCCCAAAGAAACTCTGAACGTTGTCATGATAGGAATGGATGGCGTCCCTCGCAACCACTTCATGCGCGCCATGAACAAAACGTACACGTTTCTCATGAGCGAGCTCAACTCGTTCGACCTGAGCATGCACACTCAGGTCGGCATCAACACGTTCCCCAACTTTGTGGCGCTCTTGACAGGAAGCTACGAGGACGAGGTCAGAAAATGGTGGCACGTGTCCGGATATTTGGACACCTATGACTTGGTGTGGAAAGACTTCGAGGCTGCCGGGTACAGAACTCTGTACACAGAGGACCAGCCCACTCTTGGGGCTTTTCATTTAGGACGAAGGGGGTTTAAGTTCTCGCCAACGCATTATTACAGCCGGCCCATCTGCCTGGCCATGGAGAGCGACAGAAGCTTCTGGAAGGCTGGTCGCCACTGTTTGGGCAACCAGCCGGAGATCACCTTTCACTACGATTACATCAAACAGTTTCTAGAAACGTTCAAGGACAAGCCGCTGTACGCGATGCAGTTTCAGACGAGGATATCCCACGATGACGTCACAACCACCAAGATGGCCGACGAACACACGTACGAATTCTATAAATATCTTAAAAGCAGCGGGCAACTAAATAAAACCTTGCTGATATCGTTCTCTGATCATGGTATCAGATACGGACCACTTCGACCCACCATCAACGGCTTAATCGAAAGCAGGGCACCGTATGCTATTTTCACGTTCCCCAAGTGGTTTTTGGACAAGTACCCGGATGTTGCGAATAATTTAAAGACGAACACCGGGCGACTCACGACGCACTTCGACACGCACGCGACTTTACGGGATCTCATCTACTTCAAGGCTGACCGCGTGAGTCCGCTCGTTCCAGGAAGTCACGGGTCATCTCTGTTCCGCGAGTTGCCGAAGTCGAGAGTGTGCCAAGACATCCCCATCCCCATGGAGTTTTGTATATGTGGCCAGAGTCAAATAGTAGAAGTGTCCAACGCGTCAGCCTTAAGCCAAGGCCTGGTCGATCTTGTCCTTAAGTCGGTTAACTCTAAAACCAATCACACGAAATGCGCCACGCTACAATTGACAGGGGTTGTTCAGGTGGCGCTCTTTAAGCTGACGAGAGTGAGCGACAAAGACCAAAGGGTATATAAAGTTAAATTCGTCACGTCGCCGGGGGGCGCCCTGTACGAAGGAACGGTAACTACGAATAAATGTGAGGATTCAGATCTGCTGCACTATTTTGAAGAGCTGAAATCTGGCAAAAACAACAACACTCTGTCGGTGACCGTTGGTCAAACGATTGACAGATTAAATTTCTACAAGGGCCAGGCGGATTGCGAAGAGGATGTCACAGTGAAAGCTTACTGCTACTGTCAGAATCTGGTCAACAAAACAGCAAAATCCTGAGAGAACTGTTTTCCCGAAATAGTTTGACTTTGATCATGGTTTAAACACTGGCATTTCATTTTTACCTAAACGCTTGCCTCGTGTTGCGATCTGCATTAAACATTGGATACAGACAAAATGGCAGATGAGTTCAGTTGGTCATAATTAATTGTGGTGCTGATAATTCGAACGTCTCAAGTATTACTTCTACATTGGTAACACTAGTGAAACCTTGAAATAGCGCACACTCTTTGGGGCCCAAGCAAAATGTGATGCCAGGATGTGTTGGCGCATATTACAGGGGTAATGCTACTTAAAGGTTTCACTGTATTATACATTAAAAGTTCCATGCCATGACAAAGTCTTTCAACAACAACAACAAAAAAGATAATTAGCGTGACCTTATTCCTTGACTTGATTTGACTTCTTCCACTTGTTGACTTTGAAATATTTGTAACTGAAATTTTATAACACTTTTGCAATATAACAATGTGCTTTTACTTAACTGTATGTTTTTGTTTTTGTTTTTTTTGTTGTTGAAAAACCTGAATGCGATGTTACAATATAAATTGTTACAAAAATTGTTGGTGTTTACTCCGTACCATGTACTTTCTCAGATCTACTTCTGGAGACTGTGGTGAGCCCACTGACCAAGTTCACAGAAAGAATACGACGTACAAATTAAATTGAATCTTTTTCGGCCTATTCAAGTTCTCTCATTTTGAATAATTCCTTGTGACGTCATGCGTAATTTAAAGTGTTGATAAATGCAATGATTTAAATTGAACCGTTTACACGACTGAATACATCGCAAGATCGTATGACTGTGATTTCAACTAAAAATGTGTTTATGTAGTATATACTATTATTAAACTGTTATTTATTGAACTGCCATGGACTGTGTTATAAATATTTTTTTTAAATAAAGCACTCGGTGGGACTAGATTGTCAATGCTCTTATTTTTGTGAATCATTTAATTATTGTGACGGCGAATACGTTGAGGTTAGTTAAGTCCTTTCTTCAAGGTTCGTTTCATCCTACATTCAAGATTAGTTAAGCCTACGTTCAGTATTAGTTACGCCCTAAATTCAAGATTAGTTAAGTCCTAGGTTCAAGATTAGCTAAGGCCTTCGGGAAGGTGATATAATGCATACAACCTTAATGAACTTTAACAAAAAATGTCCCGAAATAGTTTACAATTCATGGAGCGTGCCAGCAACCAAAATTGTAGCTCATTAAGTGGGAATTTTTTGTCGTTCAAATTTCGGTCTTCCGCGGGCCATTGACAATCGCCCTGCGCTCCGGGCGTGGCACGCGTGTAGAAGTCTGACACTCGGGCCTTGGGAATGCCAACCGCTTTTAAACTCGCCTCGTGTATTCCAGACATTATCGATGAGTACCGACGAGAAATGTGACCGGTTTCAGAAGATTACCTCCTTGGATTTGTCCTGTGCCCTGAAATGTTTAGGACTTACATGCACAATGATATACTGGTCGGGATAGCGTGCTTCAAATTACATTATAAACCCTCTCGTTTCATGCGACATGTGCCCAACCTTTGACCTCTGAAAACGAAACAGCTGGAATGAGACAAAGGGGGCGACAATGAGAGGGAGAGAGAGAGAGAGGGAGAGAGAGAGGGAGAGAGAGAGAGGGAGAGAGAGAGAGAGAGGGGTTGAGATAACGATGCAGGGGAGGGAGAGAGAAAGGGAGATACCAGAGAACCCGGTTGACCGATAAGAAGATGACCAAAGTAAGGTAGTGTGTGTACTGTGTACCATTCAGAGCCACCACTATTTCCACTTGTCAAACCTACATTCTCAACACTCGCACAGAGGGTGGGGTCACATCTACGTTCTCAACACACGGACAGAGGGGTGGGGGTCAAACCTACGTTCTCAACCCACGGACATAGGCGTGGGGTCAAACCTACGTTCTCA